CCTAGCACCTCAAAAAAATGCATACCTTATTTCCTTTTAATTGATTCTATGGGGATAGTAATATCTATATCACATGGTAGTTGTTAAGGATTAAGGAAGATAATGTGTGATGCCCAGTTGCACAACTAGTGTTCAGTGTATGATAGCTGGTATATATAAGGACCTATAAAAATAAATTCAGGTTGTTTTAAAATTTTTTAAAAGACCAGCATTTCTAGGTCTAATATTAAGAATGTTCATATTAACATCCTCTTTCCCATTGTGCCTAAGGACTAGGCACAGTGCTCCCAAGAGCTCCATCTGTTTCTGGTGCCTTGCTGATTCTCAAGGCCACAGTACTAGAGGACAGATTGAGAACTGCTGCTTTGTGGCTTGAGTCAAGCTCATTGTGACAAGGACAGGAATTAATCATTTTGGATTTCTGAACCAGTCAAGGCCTTTTGATTCTATGTATATGTTTTGGTGTTTTTGCAGAGAAGGAGCCCTCAGTTCTAAGAAAAGTGCTGTTGGAAGAAGAAGTCTTGGCCGCCATGGTGTCTGTCATTGGCACTGCCACCACCCACCTGAGCCCTGAGTGAGTATAAGTTTTGCTGATAAAGCTAAAGAAGGGGTTTTTAACACCATGGACTATAGGGGTGGGCAAGCCATAGGCAGTATTCTTAGTTGGAAAATCACCTGTAGAACATTTTTAAAACTATACATTGAGTTCCTTACTAGAGTTTAAGCTATAATAGAGTAGAGATTTGGTCTGTTTCGCTCACTGCTCTATCACAGCAGTCTCAAAGGGAATGTTTCCAAGCATATAATATGTGCCAAATTAATATTTGTCAAATACATAATGATCCTAGCCTGCACCATTGTCTCAGTGATCCTAATGAGAACCCCTGTTGGAAAGGCACTGCTGTGGAGGGAAGGGCTGTTTAGAATCCTAGTCCCTTGATAACACCTGTACTCTGCCCCCCAGATTAGCTGCCCAGAGTGTCACCCGCATTGTGCCCCTCTTCTTGGATGGCAACACCTCCTTTCTGCCTGAAAACAGCTTCCCAAGCAGATTCCAGCCGTTCCAGGTAAAAGAGTCTGATGGATCAGATGAGGGAGAATCTTGGGATTTGTATCCTTCAAACTTCTTCTTGTAGGGCTGATCTAGGGTGGGTATAGGAGCAGACAAGCCTATTGCTGGCAGGACAGGCCTGAAACAGCTTTTTTTTCCCTTATAGGATGGCTCCTCAGGGCAGAGACGGCTGATTGCACTGCTGATGGCCTTCGTCTGCTCCCTGCCACGAAATGTAAGTTAGTACAACATTTGGGGAGTTGGATCTTGGGGTGACCTGGGCTGAAATTTGCCCCAGGCCAAGCTGATTTTTTACTTCCCCCACTAAAGAATTTAGTTCTCATCTATCCTTCTGCCAATCCCTGCTGGCACTTCTTACTAGGTATCTTTGGAGTTCAAGTGTTTTCTGGGTCCGTTACATAGCCAGGTTTTCTGTAGGTGGAAATCCCTCAGCTGAACCAACTCATGCGGGAGCTTTTGGAGCTGAGCTGCTGCCATGGCTGCCCCTTCTCCTCCACTGCTGCTGCCAAGTGTTTTGCAGGACTCCTCAACAAACATCCTGCAGGTATTAGTGAGCCTGGGTTGGGAGCCTCCTCAAACCTTTAAAAAGGGGGCTTGCTGCCAGGTGCAGTGTCACACACCTGTAATCCCAGCAGTTCGGGAGAATGAAGCAGGAAGATCATAAGTTCAAAGCCAGCCTCAGAAATTTAGCAAGGGGCTAAGCAACTCAGTGAGACCCTGCCTCAACATACAAAATTAAAAGAGCCAGGGATGTAACTCAGTGATTAAGCACCCCTGAGTTGAATACCCAATACCAAAAAAAAAAAGAGGAAGACCTTGCTAGCTGCGTGTGGTGGCACTTCTCCGAAGCCTGAGACAGGATCTCAGGTTCGAGGCCAGTCAGGGCAACTTAGTGAGATCCTGTCTCAAAAAAAAAAAAGAGCTTATTAGTAACATAACAGGGCTGCCCCTGCTCAAACACTGTCACCAGATCTTGGGACAAGACTCTAGAGGAGAAGCTAGACAAAGCGTTACAGGGTTCTACAGTGGCACTCAACAGAGAAGCTTTATTGGGAGTTGACAACCTTCTCCTCCAATGCCAGCATCCCTGTGTTGAGTGGACTATACCAGGCTCTCATGCTAGTGTCTTATTTTTTCTCCAGATGAAATGATATTGATACGGTTTCTTGGGTATTCTGCACTTAAATGACTTACGTTCTCATCATTAAAGGAAAAAGTGCTGCCATTGCATCAGCATGTCCTGCTTCCTTTTTAGGGCAGCAGCTCGATGAATTCCTCCAGCTGGCTGTGGACACAGTGGAAAATGGCCTGGGCTCCAAGCCTTCACGCAGTCAGGCCTTCACACTGCTGCTCTGGGTAAGGAGGTGGAAATCAATTCTGGCTGGACACAGGCAGTTATTTGGTTAAATAAAATGTCCCTGATGACCCTGAGCCATAAGCAGCTACCTCCAGGTTCTGGGGTTTGACTTTGTCTCTCATATTACAGGTAACAAAGGCCCTAGTACTCAGATACCATCCTCTCAGTTCCTGCCTTACTGCCCGGGTAAGTCCTTCCTTTCTGGGACACAGGAGAACTCAGACTTAAATAGGAACCCTCTTACCCTGTTGCTCCTGGAAACCACTTCCATCCTCCTCCTTGGCATTTAAGGTTCTTCATCCCTGATGTACCTCAGAGATTCTCTTTTCTCTAGCTTATGGGCCTCCTGAGTGACCCAGAACTAGGCCCAGCAGCAGCTGATGGCTTTTCTCTGCTCATGTCTGACTGTACTGATGTGCTGACTCGAGCCGGCCACGCTGATGTGCGGATCATGTTCCGTCAACGTTTCTTCACAGATAATGTGCCTGCTTTGGTCCAAGGCTTCCACACTGCTCCTCAAGGTAAGAAATCTGAAAGGCAGGCCCCCAGATATATAGACCTCTGTTTCACTTGGGAACAGTCTAAAATAATTTATGACCCAAGCGCTTCTTTAGAGTTGTGCTATGTTCTATACCCAGAAAACTAAACTTCCCGATTCTTGCCCCACTTTTTCCTTTAATCGGTATATCTTGCTTATTCTGAGCTTGAGTTGCTTTGTTTTCCTTCTCCTTTTGTATGCTGAAATTCCAGCCTTCTCAGAGATTGGAGTTGAGTTCTTGAATGACTGTCTAAGCCTGTTTCTCCCCAAGCTTCTCCATTTTTTTTTTTTACAGATGTGAAGCCAAACTACCTGAAGGGTCTGTCCCATGTACTCAACAGATTGCCCAAACCTGTGCTTTTGCCAGAGCTGCCCACAGTAAGTTTCTATAATCAGCCTCTAAGCAAGAGACAAAGCTTTTCTCCCATAGCCTGGGCCAGAAAGGGGAGAACAAAGATCATCACAATGTGGTCACCCCTCTTTTTCTGTTGCCTCTTAGCTTCTTTCCTTGCTGTTGGAGGCCCTATCATGCCCCGACTCTGTGGTCCAGCTGTCTACCCTCAGCTGCCTTCAGCCTCTTCTACTGGAAGCACCCCAAGTCATGAGTCTTCATGTTGAAACCCTGGTCACCAAGTTTCTGAACCTCAGTTCCAGCCCTTCCATGGTGCGTTGAGCCCTAGCACCTCTGTGGTACTTCATCTCTCCTCAGGTCTCCCTCATCTCTGTATGATTGTGTTCCAGGCTGTCCGGATCGCTGCACTGCAGTGTATGCATGCTCTCACTCACCTGCCCACTCCTGTGGTGAGTACCTCTGTTGTCCTCCCTGGCCTGGGAACCTCTTTCAAGAACCAGGGAAGTACCTCTTTGCCTTTATCAAGTGAGATTAGCCACCCTGCTGTGTGGTTAAGATATGAACTACAAGGTACAGATAAGCACAGATTTTTTTTCCCTTGGGGCCAGAATGAATCTAAAAAATACTGACCACCCAATAAATAGAATGGCCATCCTGCCACTTGGCATCCTCTAGAATCACTAAAAAAGAGTAGGATATATTATATGTGCTTAGCACGTGTGAGGCCCTTGGTTCAATCTCTCCCATTAAAAATGGATAGGATATATTCTGCTCTTTTTGAATATTAGTTCTACAAAGCCAGAGAAGCAGCTCTTCTGGTTGCTAAGTTTGACCTTGGCTAAGATTATCTCCTCTGACTCCACAGCTGCTACCATATAAACCACAGGTGATCCGGGCATTGGCCAAACCCCTGGATGATAAGAAGAGACTAGTGCGAAAGGAAGCTGTGTCAGCCAGGGGAGAGTGGTGAGTTCTAGGTCATGGGGAGAGATGGGACCAAAACGAGCCTTACTGCTGATGCTGCCGATTTTCTTTATGCTTACAGGTTTCTGCTGGGGAGCCCTGGCAGCTGAGCCCTTATTTCTGGCCTAGACTCTTCTGACAATCTAACCTGGAATTACTAACTCAAGCCATCTTGCCCAAGGCAAGAATACTAGCCTCTGCCCGCCTTTCCCACAGACACAGCACAAGCGCTGGGCCTCTGCTGCATGGCTATACAAGAAAAAAACAAGAGTCCTAATTTCTAAAGGATTCGTGAACTAACTGAGCAAGTCTACTTGTTTTTGAAGGAAGATCTTGGGTTGTGGGGCCCTTCTGTTGTATCTCATGTCAGGAAATGGGAGCTATGCTGCTGAGGGGTGAGTGCAGATGACTGTGACCCTGAAGACCAGGGATAGTGGATGATAGTGAACGCGTGTGTACCTGCTGGAGAATAAAGGTTTCTTTTGGTAATGGTGCTAACTATCAGAGATAGTCCCCCTCACCCCACATATGCCTCAGTAGCACACAGCCAGAGGTGGCACAGTGATGTTTAAGGGTTAGTCAAGAATTCTGCAGGGCATCCAACCCCTCCAAGTAAGGGCAATGAAGGTGTGAGCAGAATATCTACTCACTAGGCCCTGACCCTGACTTCTCCCACCCTTCCCTGCCCTAGAACTAGGCAAAGAGTTAAAAACCCGTATACTTTTACAAATCAAACACCTTTATTTTTGTTCCCTTCATTAGCATGTGAGAAGTGGCAGTGACTCTGACCTGGGCAGCAGGCCTGTTGTCTTTGCCCCATTAAGAAGTTAGGATCCCAGATGTACCCTTCAGGTGTTTCCCCAAACAACAAGTGGGAGAGGTGATGGCCAGCCCCGGTGCTGTGACATGGAGAATATCAGATCAGCACCGGACAAGGTAGCTAGCTGCCTGACCCCTAGGCTGGGGCTAGAATTTATTTGCCTGAGTAAAGGGATTTTAGTCCTAGGATTTCTCCATATTGTGTCTTGCTTCTGCCCTGGCCAGGCTGGTCCTTCAGTTGTTCCTGCATAGTACCTTAAGGCAGGCCCACTGGCTCCTTTTGATGAAGGGTTCCAAGGAAAGCTGCCCTTGGAGGCCCTTGAGACAGTGTAGGCAGCAGAACAAATACTCAAGTGTGGCTGGCACAACCCAGCTCACACCGCCATCACAGAGGCTGAGTGAACAGTCACCCAGGGAGGGGGGTCCCAGCTCATTCCATTCCCATGGGGCAAGTGACTAGAAGGTAACAGCACACGGGTAAGCCAGTGCCTACAAGAGAAGACAGAAATGTTTCTGAGTTCCAAAAGTTCCTGGTGTCCTTTCTATTTATTTTACAGCAAGCATACATCAAGCACAAAGGTAATAAGAGTCCTAATACTGTCCATTTGATCTGTCTTCTGGGCCCTTGAAGGCCTTTTGAGGTTTTGAGCTATTCTAAGGGGCCTCTGCAAGCACAGTGTTAGGCAGGAGTATAATAAAGATGAGAAAGGGAGGAAGGAAAGAACTGACAATGTGACTGGTTGTTATTGCCTCAGTAATTCAGTTTGAAGAATGACTTCCCCTTGTCTCTAGGGCTGAGAGAGCTAGCTTTGTTTATTGCCTCAGGACTCCAAACACTGCCTACAAATGAAAAGTGATTGGCAACTACTACATACTACCTTTTTCAGTATTCTAGTGTAGTCATCTTAAACCTGATCTGCTCCTTAAGCCGTGGTTTGAGCCCCAAGCCCCTCTGTCTTAAATGAAAGCAATGTTCTTTACTCCTACAGTTTAGAACTGCAAAGACAGGGACATGTGGCTATTTAAACTCATGAAAATGAAATCCAATTAAAATCCTTCAGTGGCACTATCCACATTCTAAGTATTCCCAGGTAGAGGCCATCTTTCTCATCACTGGTCTCTTACTTTACCTTCCTGTGTCCACACCCAGGAATACCTTCCAGTTGTCCAGACAGCCATAGTTGTAAGGATTCCTAAATACCTAGAGCCAAGGAAAAGAAAAAACATTTCTACAGACCTCTTCTTTATAATCCCCTTCTCATTTTGGAGACAATTTTGGCTAAATTGAAGCCCAGGTAAGCAAGTTCTGGCATTATGTTATAGTTACAGAGTTGTCCCTGACCATGTCCTCTGCTTCCAGGATACAGGTTCAGTTACCTACCTGCCCACCCAAGCCCTCAACCCCACTCACTCTGCCCTTCGCCTGTAGTCGACGTCTTTCCTTCTTGTTGATGTGCCTTTCGATGCTAGTCTCACCCCGGCTGATGAGAACAGCATGCCATATGGTTAGGGCACCCAGGGCAAGTGCCACAGAACTAAGAAAATAGACAAAGATTGGTGGAAATTAGGGCCATTGGATGTAGGTCTGAAGTTGAGCTACACAATGATTAGTTAGCAACCTCTCTGCCTCATTTTTCTTATCTCCTGGCATACTTCCTAGATTAACTTGTACTTTCACCATATCTATAAAGAACATCAGGCTCCCATCTACTCAGGAGGCTGAGGAAGGGGTATCACATTGATGTTCAAGGTCAGCCTAGGCTATTTAGTGAGACCCTGTCTCAAAATAAAATTTTAAAAGGGCTGGGGATGTAGCTCATTGGAGCACCTCTGTAGCATTTGTGAGGCCCCAGATTCCATCCCTAATACCTAAAAATAAAATTAAAAAATGTGTCAGTGTAGGATGAAAATAAGTCATGTGGAAAGGAAGAGGGAGAAATAAGTCTATTAAGAGAACATTCTATATTTCCTAAAAACTCATGCTTGGGAGACAGTGAAGAGTAGCAAAAACACTGGGGGATAAGATAAGGGTGACATGAAATTTGCATTCCAGCTGTAGCACTCCTAGCCATGTATCAAGGAACACATCACTTCATTCTATAAATCTATAAAATGCAGTCACCTACCCTTTAGATAGTTACTACCAGGAATAAATAAATTTAACTTACCTTGGCACATAATAAATAACAAGCATGCTTACATCCTTAGTGCTTGGTAAACAGCAGTGCTCATGTCCTGAGTGTTCCCTGCCCCAAAATGCTGAAGAAAAGTGCTGACTCTGCCAACCTCAATTAGACTAGAACAGAGGCAGGTCATTCAGGATGGGTTCCTGCCTGCATTTGGGCACTTAAAAAAGGTTTTTCTAAAGCTGCCCTACCCTTAAAACTATCAAGTCTGAGTTAAATACCTGCACAGGAACCAGAGGTAGACAAGGCTCTTGTGAGTTATCCTTTCCCGAAAGGAGAAGGTGGGTGGTGGGGTCTGGTGATAAGTCTAGAAAAAGAAAAAAGCAAAGCCTGGCTCCTTTTGCTCAGTTGGTCTCTATCAACTGCCACCAAAGCCCCCAGCACCTATATGCAGGAAGTATTCCAAACCCAGGCAGAAAAAATGGAGACTAAAGCTACACAGGAGTCAGGACAGCAGGCAAAGGAGTGGACCAAACCTGGTGGCACCAACACATGGACAAACACTGGGCAGGGCAGGTCTGGACAAGATGGAAAAGCACAGGAGGAGAGCTGACCCTGGGCCTTTAGGTTGACAACATGAATGGGGCTCCAGGGGAAGCCACTCCATTCCACAGCCATAACTCCTTTATGTGGCTGTATCCCCAAGAAAGGAGACCAGACCCATAACCGGCATTCACTAATTGGAGAGGAAAAAATCATTAAGAACTGAGAAGGGCAGCAGAGGTACAGCATATAAGCCCAGGATGTGCTCAGAATAAGGAGTTCTAAGAGGCAGAGTGGGGATTACCCAGATGCAGATGGACCAGCTTGATGTCTGTCCCCTGGAACCCCATTACACAGACTAACACAGGCTCCTTGCTGCTCAGGCCATCACCAAGACAGAGTCCAGGCTCAGCCCAAAGAGGTGATGATGGGATAGTCAAAAATTGTCACATCCCAGACACTTCCAGCTTGCCCCAAGCCACTTAGTCCACCTACTGCAGCCTCCCTAAACATCCCTGATTCAGCCTACTGAGGCTCAACAAGCCCCTACAACTAAAGTAGCAGGCCCAGCTGTCTGAGCAGCTCTATGTTCCTGGCCTGAGCAGCAGGAGGCAGTGGGGTGGGGACAGCCCACCTGGTTGGCAACCGCCTGCAGTTTGTTCTTGTCGAGCTGTTTCATTTTCTAAGGGGATGGAAAACAGTGCTGGTTATACTCTTAAGGCCCTGGGGTGGGGGTGCTACCAGTCCCATTCCTTAGGGACAGGCTCACACCCTGAAACACTGCACCATTGAGTCACCCTGCTCCTAACCGTAGGCTCACCTCAATGGCAGCATAAGCCTCCCGGAAAAGGTCCCAACTTCCATAGCTGCAGTAGACACAGCCCAGAGTCATGAAAAAGCAGAAAGAGAAGAAGTACCGATGGTTATAGTGGCCCACACAGTTATTTAGCCAGGCTGGTGAGGGGATGATTAAGGACAAGATCAAACAATTTCAGTGGTGTCCAGGCCTCTGGTTCATACTTGGTTAAAGACAGCATCAACCAAGCAAGAATTATTTTCCAAAGGCAAGAAAATATGGGATTATTTCCTAAGGTTCAGGTCAACGTCTCATAAGCTTTTCAGAGCACTCAAGTACCCCCAGAGAATCATGAAAATGAATCTGCCAATACTTTAACCTCACTAGGGTTAACTGGACATCTGTATGGGACAACACAGGGGGACCCATGAGTCTATTTGGTACCCCCAGGGGACAGCCAGCGAAGCCCTGGCATCACTTTCCACCCAACAGCTATTAGCATAACAGCCTACAAAAGAAACCTGTTGAAAGATCCCTGGCTCAGGCTGGGGATATAGCTCAATTGGCAAAAGTGCTTGCCTCCCATGCACAAGGCCCTGGGTTCAATCCCCAGCACCACCAAAAAAAAAAAAAGATTCCTTGCACCCAGAGAATCCATCCCAGAGAGCCTATGAGCCTCCTGTGCCCCGCAAGAGATGATCAACCCCCACAATGTCTTTTCTACTAACTTCTCATGAGCCCAGTGTTCTCTGCACGGTGAAGTCTTAGGCATGTGGCCATTAACCCTGTATAGTGCTCTGGAACTAAAGAAGTCAGTCTCAGGCAGAAGAAAGCAAAAGGATACGGCAGTGATGGTCCATCTTCAGCACACACCTGTGAGGGAGGGACACAGGCTCTGTTTAGGTGGCCATGGTTCTTGAGATGTCAGTACCAATCCTTTCCTACAAGGGCCAGCATCCTGCTGAGGTGGAGAGGGCACAGACTTTGAAGACAGCCAGGCTTTGCTTCAAACCCAGCTCTATAACTTATTGGCTATGTGATACTGGACAAAGTAATCCTCTCTTGAGTCTCAGTTTCCACAAGTAGTAATAATGCCTAACTCAGAACCATCCTGAGGACTATGTTTCAGGAAATAAGAGAATGTTGCCTGGGACGAGATGGATGCTTGATACATGTCTTAGCAAACTCTTAAGTCAGGTTTTGCCCTAGGGCCACAGCAAGAGAGTCACTGCTGGGGTTCATAAAGAACAAAGCCAAGACCAACCTATTGCAGATGCTGCAGTGGTGTGTTCGGGCAGGTTTGGGATAAATACACTTCTTACAGATGGAGACTGTGGCAATGTCATTCCTGCCCTGTGAAGAAAGAGCATCATGACCACTATGGCAGCACCATTTCTATGCCTCAAAATATTCCATAACACTCTCCCACTCCTGAGACTGGCTCAGATAGCTGCAACTCTGCCCCTACCTCCCCTCCCCCCAGCGGAACCCACCTGGGGTGGGTACCCAGGTGGAGTGGTGATGGCCTGGTAGTAATGGAAAACGATGAGAATCAGATTCCAGTGACTGTAGAAGAAATGCCAGCAGAGTCGTGGCACCGAGTAGGTTTGAAGGATGAGAGGCAGGACACACAAGTAGGCGATGGCCACGATGGAGCCCGTCAGCACTATCACCAGCACCACGAACACCTGCCAACACCAGTGAGGTCAGGTAGACACAGTAAGAACGCTATACCCAGAGGAGACTCAGGAATTTCTCTAGGGATAGAGGGCTGGCCTCCAGAACCTAATGCAGGTCTATCAGTGAAAGACACGTCTCTCTGCTCCCCCCAAAACATTCATTTTCCTGCTCCTAGGCATCACTTACCACCCCAAACCAGCGGATCACGTTGTCCACCAGCCAGTAGACAGGCTCAAAGGCAGCATCGACAGCAGTATCACCACCCCCAAAGGAGTTATAGAGCAAGGAGCGCAGGCAGACCTTGCCATAGCGCCAGCGCTGTACCAGGCCGCGGAGCAGAGGTGGGCAGCGGCGCCTGTAACCCAGGAGCAGAAGCAGGCGCAGACAGAGGCGGGCTGGGCCCAGCAGCAGGCTCCGCTGACCCCTCATCGCTCCTAGGAGAGGATACCATTGTAAGGATCCAGTGTGAGTCCTATCCCTCCCTCCCCAACCATTGGGAAGGCCCTGAGCACCAGCTCAGAGGGCAAACACCTAAGACTAAGACCCAGCTAGGCCAGTCACCAGCTGTGAGGAATATGAATGGCACTTCATTTTTCTATGGAATGTCCAGTGCTCATGTCCTAACCAGAAAGAGGGACTGGAGGTTCTGAACCTGCATAAATTGTATTTATATTATGCCACAGGGGTGCACAGCAAATCCACTTAAACTAAAGGGATCATGGTATTAGAGTAAGGGAGAGAAAGGTGGCATCACAAAGGAGTCTTTGGAGCTATCTGTGTAGAAACCATTGAAAGAAGCATGGCCCACATGAACAAAGCTGCCCAGTACATCTTGGCAAGACCACTGTGGCAGAAGTTTCCCAGGGCCTCCTGCTTGCCCTGACCACCAAGGGTATAGCATATGAATCCTACACATAGATTTGCCTTGGTGCTGTCTTGGTAAAAGATACTTTTTCCTACTCCCTCTAGGCTGATGTTCCAGGCCAGGAGACTCAATCTGGTAGCATGAGATTACTGTCTCCTGTCAAGACAGCCAACCCTCAAATGACATAAGATGCTTTGTCTCCAATTCCACTCCCAGCCCTACCCCAAGGGTACAGCAGCCAGAACAACTTCAGGTATTCAGAGCAACAGAACCAAGGCTGGAGACACAGCTGTGGGAGGGATCTCCATGCTGGTGGCTCATGAAAACCTCAGGGCCTGCCCTCTCAGTGACAAGTCTTCCCTGATGCACTAGTAAGACACAAAAGGACCTTCTCTGCAGCTGCTGCCCTTGGCCCCAAGCTTCCCAACCAACTTTCCCAGCTGTGCAAGAGCCTCCATCCCTTGGCACTCTCCACCTCATCCACAGCATAGGAGCTCACTGCCCAGGCAATGACCAGGACACAGATGCTCTACCAGACTTTTTCCATGACAGTCTCAATTCTGCAGATTAACTCTTTTACCAGAAAAGAAATTATCTGATTTTCCCCTAGAGCAGCCAGGAAGGGCCGCTTTGTCCTTAACAACTCCACTGACTTATTTAACAGGCAGCTCAAAACCCAGCAGAAACTGGAGGAGGCTGCTGTGCTATGGGGATGGTTTCAATTCAGTAACTAGAGCAATGTATTCTCTTTGCACTCTGGCTCATCCCCACAGAAGATCTTTCAAAGAAAAAATAATTACCTCCTCCTACATGCCATGTAAGCCTTACAGAGAAAAGAAACCCAGCTGACAAGGCCTACAAAAGGAGAGAAAGACAATTTAGGAGGACCTACCCGATGCACCAGGATAAAGAAACTGGCCATTCCCATCACCTCCTAGGAAGATAAGAAAATTAAAAGGAAGTGTAGAAAAGAGGAAAACCAGTAAGCTCAGATTTGGATGCCTATTGTTTGGAACCATGATTTGGCTAAAGCATGAATTTTCAAAACAGTAGACAGCCAAAATTAAATGTAAGAGTAGAACAGGACAACTGCCCCACAACAAATCTAGGTGACTTTTAGACTGTCCACACCACTGTATTCTCCCTTGCTACAGATAATGGAGAATTTCCTAGTTGCTAAAATACTTTCTGTAACAACGGCATACCTATCAGATACATTCCTCATAGGTAATCAATAGGAATCATATTCTACCTCAAAGCCACCACTAGTAGTCTAAAAAAATAAAAATTATCCTTCTTAGATTCTCTACTTTTCAGATTCTTCTCAACCACTTCCTGAATTCCTGAGCTCTACATGAAATGTCTACCCCAAAGACTAGATTTAGCAACTCTCATCTTCCCAAACGTAACTACTTAGGGTTCAATTCTGCCCCTAAGTAGTTCTGTGACCTTAGGCAAATCATTGATCCCTGCTGGAATTTAATAATATTGTGTTCTCATTCAATGAGGAGGTAAGATTAAATGGTAAGATCCCTTCTAGCTCTAACCCTTTATAAATATACGAGTCTGTGTGTGTGTGTACACACATATATTTGGTAAAGTATAAATGAAAAGTTTATAAAGTACTTAGCACAATACCTGGTTCATGAAAATACTCAAATAGTTGTTAAATTAATGACCTGGAGGGTTGCAGAAGTGGAAAGCCTGGTCAGATATCTATCTGTTCTACAAACATCAGCAAGGTCATTCCTGAAATGTGATAACACTAAATAAAGTGACTGCTGCTAACATTCTTCCTGATTAATAAAGAAGAGAGAAAGTAAAATAAAGAAAATAGAAACCGTAATTAGAATCACAGCATGAAAAAGAGCTAAAAGACATTTTAGAAAACAAGTCTAACAAGAAGTCAACCCAAACAAGTGAACAGAAAGCTTGCAGATGAGGAAACACAAGTCAAATTTGGTTGATCAAAATATGAACCCAGGCCCTTCCTCTCACTTTTAGCTACTGAGACACGGGAGGCATGGGGATGCCAGGGAAAAGATGTTATCCATGGGCCACAATGAAACAGGTTTCATTTCAGGAAATTGAAGAGCAAACAAAAAAATTATGTGTTGGAATGGGGGGCTGTGAGCTCAGAGTGAACAGGGAAGGAAATAGAAAAGCACATTTCTACTCTCATACCAAGATAAACTCTGACTAGTCCCATTCCTCAGTAGTACCCACAGGCCATGGTGGCCATCTGCCACCAGATTAGAGACTGGAGGCCACAACACTCCCCTCATCCCTGAGCTCTAAATCACCATCTGTTTCCCTAGGGAAAAACCGATTGGCAAAAAAAAAAGGGGGGGGGGATAAGGAGGTACAGATTCCAGAATAGCCAGAATTTAGACAAAATAGATCAGAGTCGTCGCAAATTTCATCTAGACTAAGATGCTGCTCTCAAGTTGTTTACAATCTCAAGTAAGAGATGTCAGACTTCAGTAAAGCGCAGTATTTCATTCATATGCAGACATCCCTTCTGGGTTGCCAGCTTTAAAAAAAAAAAAAAAAAAGAAGTAATGCATGCACTTAAGAAGGGGCCCTCACAACTGGAGGATCTAATGCAGGACTGAAAGCTGCAGTTACAAAACCCAGGAAAATGTTCTGTGTCTCAAAAAGGGCAGTGATGTCAAACTGCAACGGACAGATGGCCAAAAAACTTTGGTTCCGGCTTGGGCTCTACCTCGAATTATGTTTGAGCCTTTGAACAAGTCAAACCCTGTCCCTGGATCTGAGTTTCCAAACCTGTGAAATGGGCAAGTAGGGCTGGCGGACCTCCTTCCGGCTTTGCGCCTCACAGAAGCCCCGAGGGTACGCTCTGCCAGAGGAGGACACGGCCCTGCAGGGCGGGGCGCGCAGTGAGCAGGAACCTGGACTCACATCAAGGCCCTGGGACAGGGCCCGACCCTAGAAAAATGAACAAGGATGGGGAGCAAGGGCCGCGACTTCTCCTTACCTGCACCCTGCCGACTCCTCAATCAGCCAAATGGCCGCTCACCACCCCCCCCCTCCAGCTCGGTGCCCGGGCCAGGCCCGGTTCAATCCGACCCACCATTGCCCGTCACCCTCAGCGCCAGTAAGCGGACCCGGACCCGCCGCCAGCCCATCCTCAACCATGAGCGCAAGCGCGTGCCCTGAAACCTCGAAGTTCCACCTCCGATTTTTTCCCGGAGCAACCTGGGAAATGGAGTTTACCCCGGAGACATAGCCCCCGCTGATCACGTGTCAAAGTGCACCAATTGGCGCATATCTTACTGCGGAACTGCGCCGGTGTGTGACCAATGAGGAATCGGCTCCGTTTACATCCGGGCTTTACGACAGTGGCAGTCATGGCGCCACCCGTGAGATATTGCATCCCTGGTAAGTGAGGGCCGCCCGTACAGAGCCATGGATAGTGACAAAGTCAGGAATCCTGAACTGCTTCCTGCTTCTGGGAGCCCAAGGCTGATGCAGCGTTTTTTGTGCAGGCGAACGTCTGTGCAATTTGGAGGAGGGCAGCCCTGGCAGCGGCACCTATACCCGGCACGGCTACATCTTTTCTTCGCTTGCGGGCTGCCTGACGAAGAGCAGCGAGAACGGCGCGGTAAAGGAGGCGGCTTCCCTTTTCCTGTCTCTCTTAGGCTGCCTTTGAGTTCTGATTTTTAGACACCGGCGCCGCGGACGCGTCTTTGGTGCCTCACCAGTAAAACGATTCAGCCTCTCGGGGTTTGCCGTCTGTGATGGCCACTGCTGTGCACTTACTAGTTTGGTTTATCTCGCCTCGTTGGGCTGCCGACACTCTGGGACGAGGCTGGAGCGAGGACAGATGCAAACTGAGAGTAGCCCAGCCCAGCAGTGAGCTGAATCCCATCAGAATGTTGCCTACTTTTCCTCCTTATACCCCCACTATTTCCTCCTCACTCACTGCAATCTAGTCTTACTGGCTTATTTCATTATCGCTAACACGCTAAGCGCCTTACTGCCACAGAAATTTTGTATACCTGCCATTTTTCTGGAACACACTCCTCTTCTTCTTAGCTTGTGTATTTCTTACATCTTTCAAAAGCCTCTCTAGTGTCATTTTCTCAAAGAAACCCCCTAGACTCACTGGTTGAGGAAAGGGTTTGTAGGGGCTTGTTTTGTTAAAAATTTACAACAAACTATTCCTTCCCCTGAGCATTTCAGCACTCGGGTTTTTTTTTTTGGGGGGGGGGGGCGGGGTGTTTGTTTTTTTGTTTTGTTTTGGTTTTTTGGCACCAGGAATTGAACCCAGGGACACTTAACCCCTGAGCCACATTCCCAGCCCTTTTTTATTTTGAGACAGGGTCTCACTAAGTCGCTCAGGCTAACTTTGAACTTGAAGTCCTCCTGCCTCAGTCTCCCAAGTCACTGGGATTACAGGTGTGAACCACTGAGCCCAGCTACCATTACCCCCTTATGAGAGAAAACATATGGCCCTTCTTCTAACTTTGGCTTATTTCTGTTAGCATAATGTACTCAAGTTTCATCCATATTCCTTCAAACGACATAATTTTATTCTTCTCTATGGCTGAATAAACTTCATTGTGTATATATGCCATAATTTGGCTATTGTGAATTGTGCTGCTAAAAAATAATGGTTAGATGCTGGAAGTAGACTCTATGCGTGTTGTCAGGCCTGAGGGCCTCTTTCATTTTTGTCAAGGAGAGGACTAACCTCTCCTTTCATACAACACTCAAGCATTTTCATGTGTTAGTCATAGTGCTAACCTCTGAAGATGTAGTAATAAGCCAAATACACTTAGCTTTTTCTGTGGAGGGCCCAGACGCAATTCAAACAAATAAATGTTCAAATGAGTGTCTCATTAACAATTGTGATAATTGCTTTGAAAGAATATTGTACAGCACCATGAGAACATGTAACCAGAGAACCTACTCTTGGTCAGTGAATGGGACATTTAAGTTGAATCACCTAAAGGATTAGAGGATTAAATTAGAGTTGAGTGGGTGAAGAAAATGTAGTTCTAGCTGAAAGAACAGGTTAAACAGAGATTCTACTGAAGTGAGAAGCAGTTTGTAAGTTGGGAAAATTAAAAGAGGTTTAGAGAGTCTTAGTATAGTGGTCAGGGGAGAGATTGATAAAAGATGAAGCTGAAAATATGTTTTACACCAATAGCCAATATCATGCTTAAAGAGAAAACTCTAGACATAATTATATAAAATATAAGAAAACAGTATGGCCGTCATGTAACATTTATTTGGAAATTCTGTGCTATGCAATTAATAATTAAAAGAAACAGAGGCATTATTATAACACTTGTTATAACAATGAGTCAAATTATGCATGATTACAGGCAATAGGGTTGTATACCAGGAAATTCCAAGAGAATTTTATAAAATTTATTAGAACTCATCTGGAATGTTTATAAATTCCAAGGTATTTTTCTGTTATAAACCACAAATACCGGGCTGGGGATGTGGCTCAAGCAGTAGCGCGCTCGCCTGGCATGCGTGCGGCCTAGGTTCGGTCCTCAGCACCACATACAAACAAAGATGTTGTGTCCGCCGAAACTAAAAAAATAAATAAATAATAAATATTTTTAAAAAAATAAATAAATAAACCACAAATACCTTTATTGTTCTCTCTGTAGCTTCCTGTGGTGTCTGTGATGAGAGAAACAGAGTCCCAATTACTTCCAGATGTGGGAACTATTGTAACCTGTAAGGTAAGTTGGTCCTAACCTACTGCTTAGGATACCCATCCAATACCGAACTCAGAATAATTCTAGAACTGCATTTTCAGTATGGTAACCACTAGCCACTTGTGGCTATTGAAATTAACAAGTGTTAAAAATTCACTTTGTCAAGCCAGCACGGTGAGACACACCCGTAATCCCAGTGGCTTGGGAGGCTGAGACAGGAGAATCGCAAGTTCAAAGGCAGCCTCTATAAAAGCGAGGCACTTAGCAACTGAGACCCTGTCTTTGAATAAAATACAAAAATAGGGCTGGGGATGTGGCTCAGGGACCTAGTGCCCCTGAATTTAATCCCCGGTACCTCTCCCCCCAAAAAATTCACTTTCTCAATCTCACTGGCCACATTTCAAGCAGTGAAATCAAGCCCAGCAGTCACTTGTGCCTTATGGGCCAGCACATGACATTTTTATCATCACAGAAAGTTTGACTAGACTATACTACTGGACTAGAAATTCTAGGATATTGATCAAGGCAGCCAAATTCAGGCATCCATAGTTCCTTCACTGAGCTGGTTTCTGAGCATGTAGTTTCTATCTCTGTCTGAGAAGTGAGGCATACCAACAGGTGATAATGAGATCTGTTTTTAAAATGTGAAACCAAGACTGTCTGCACAGAAGCAAAAGACTCTTCTCTAGCATTCCTGTTTAAAGACCTTTAGGGATTTTCTTTAGTTGTTGATGGACCTTCATTTTTACTTGTTTATTTGTGGTGCTAAGGATCAAACCCAGTGCCACACTCATGCTAGGCAAGCACTCTACCACTGAGCCACAATCCCAGCCTTGACTTTTAGGGTTTTTGAGAGAAGGTACTGATTAATGTACTAATCTGTAACTGTAACACATAAGTTACCTCTACCCATCCCCACCCTCTGCCAAGTTCACTTGTAGCTTTTGGTTTCTCTATAAATTATTCCAGAAGAAAGTATATGTGTTACTCTGAAAATAACTACAGAGGCAATTATTAGGCAGCAGATAAAACATAGATTTAAATTCTATTCACTATATAAGCCTCTTATAAGATCTGTTAAAGGTCTAGATTTGCTTCTATGCGCTGTTTTAAATTAGACTTGTGGACTTTTAAAATCTGCACCCTATTATCTCACTTGATTTCTGAGTAACCCTATCATATGGCCTCTGTGGCTCTTATTACACAGATGTCACTTAGGTAGTGATAAATAGGAGTTAACTTATTTTAAATTCTACTTAGTAAGGTTGCTTGTACTAAAATCCTGGTAATTATTAATTTATTGCTATGTCCTTAAAGTGATATCTGCTAATCCTCTGATGCTGATCCTTGTTCTATTGCACAGGTCTCTAGCATCAATTCACGCTTTGCCAAAGTGCACATCCTATATGTGGGGTCCACACCACTTAAGAACTCCTTTCGAGGAACTATCAGGTAAGAGGTACCCTTGTCTTCACATGCCCCAGTACCTGGAATAAAATTGGAATATTTAGGAACAATTACAGTTCCTACTCATTTTTCTTTTCTTTGTGCCAATAGTACCCCCCAAAAGAAATATTCTATGAGGAAAATATTAATAAGAGAGGGTTTTAAATTATAGCCAAAAAAAAAAAAAAATGTGTGAAGCTAAAGATTAGGAGTATCAGGATGATTCAGACCAAACAAAACAAAAGCATTTTAGAAAGCACCTTTTTTTTCCTTGAATTTAGTATAGATTAAACCCAAAAGTTTTAAGACTGTGGGTGAAATAATGGGATTGTTCTCTTGTGGATTTTTTTCGGAAAGGATGAAAAATTCTTGCAAACCAGATAATGTAACTTGTGAGGATCTTTCCACAATCAGGATTTAATATGGTCTAGGACAGTTTAAGTTCTCCTGAGACAGCAGAGTTCCTTTACCTTCCTGCTGAATCTGATCTGCTTTTCCCAAGCCAGAGGTATCAGTATTGACCTTCTCTGTGGTCCAAGAATGGGAAAATGTTTTGTCCTCTCCATGTGGGCTAAGGCTACCTTCTACCCCATGTCTGTGGGTGGCAGCTGGGTCCCCACAGACAATTCTTACAATTAATCTTTCTGTCAATTCTTTTTTTATAGAAAGGAAGATGTCCGAGCAACTGAAAAAGACAAGGTTGTTGGTTGGTTTGGGTATTTTCCCCCCATGGCTTTAGGGAACTTGATTTTTTTTTTTTTAAATTATTATTCCAATGAATTTCTAAGTCAGAGGAATGTGAAGTTCATGGAAGTTTAATATATTCTGTGCTATGATGTGTGAAATCTATCTTGCTATCCTTTTCCACTACTTTAAGAGTTTTATTCCTTCAATTGATATCAGCATGTCTAGTTTATTCTTTGCATTTAAAGTTGGTTATTTATTCATTGCTCTTCCCTCAGACTTATTTTGGGCCCTTTCAGAGCCAACTATAGTGCTTTTTGTTTAAGTCAGAGTCCTGGTCATGTTATTGAATTCAAATTCTTCCATTCATATTATGATGCTATAGGAGCAATGAAAGGAATTGACCGACAAGTGCTGATGACTTCTACATTCTGGAATTAGAAAGTAAACTAGCTCTACCAGAAGGATGAAATTTCAGGTAAACCTGATCTAGACCTTTCACATAACATTCCTATTCTTTCTTTACAGGTTGAAATTTATAAGAGTTTCCGCCCAGGTGACATTGTTTTGGCCAAAGTGGTATCCTTTATTTCCAGTTGACATGTCTTTTGTCAAAAGAAGAAATGAAAATAGAGGAACAATTAAAGTGACTCCAGGGGAAAGACTTAAAACTAACTCCTCATTTTCCTTCACCAGTATTATGTGACTAGATCTCTTTAGGTGATGCACAGTCCAACTACTTGCTGACCACTGCCGAAAATGAGCTGGGAGTGGTGGTGGCCCACAGTGAATCAGGTGAATTGATCCATGTTTCCATATCCTTACGCTACCCTGGGAGCTGTGGTTTGGGATTAATCCATTGTTTTTTCTGATTTTCCTTGGTTGGTTTGTTTTTGTTTTTGGTACCAGGGATTGAACCCAAGGGCACTCAGCCACTGAATCACATCCCCAGCCCTATTTTGTATTTTTTTTTTTTTAGAGACAGGGTCTCACTGAGTGGCCTAGCGCCTCACCATTGCTGAGGCTGGCTTTGAACTTGAGATCCTCCTGTCTCAGCCTCCCAAGCCTCTGGAATTACAGGCATGGGCCACCATTCCCAGCATTTTCCTTGTTTTTTCATTATCTTAGAAGCAATATGGGTGTAAATACCATCATGTGATGCAAAATGACATTTTGGTCAACAGTGGACAATATATACTATGGTGGTCCCATAGATTATATCACCTAGGGCTGGGGGTACAGCTCAGTGGTAGAGCTATTACTTACAATGTACAAGGCCCTGGGTCTGATCCCCAGGATTTAAATATATATATAGTGATATTATAGCCATTTTAGTAAATATACTCTTAAGTTATTTGCAGTGAGAAACATGTCCCATCCTTAACACAGGACTGTGCTTACTACTGAGATTAAAATGATTCTTCCTAAGTTTCCTAAGTTGGAGTTTCAATGGCATAATCAGTTAGTGCTTAGTGTGAGGTACTTGCAAGAATGATACTCCCAGCCAGGTGTTGTGGTGCATGCCTGTAATCCCAGCATCTTGGGAGGCTGAGGCAGGAGGATCTCAAGTTCAGGGCCAGCCTCAGCAACTTAGCAAAGCCCTAAGCAACTTGGTGAAGCCCTGTCTCTAAATAAAATATAAAAAAGGGCTGGGGATGTGACTCAGTGGTTAAGCATCCTGAGTTCAATCCCCAGTGCCTCATCCCCTGCAAAAAGAAAAAAAAAAAAAGAATGATATGCCTAAATCTAAGCAAATAGGAAATTAACTTTGTAAGTCAGTGGAACAAAGTTTTTTCTTCTGTAAGAGGTATGGTTCCCTAGGTAACCACTGATAACCCACCCCTATCCTAGTGCTGGGTATGAACCCAGGCTCTTGCACATACTAGGCAAGTACTCTGCACATACTTGGCAAGTAAATGCCAAGCCTAACATTTCATTCTCAAACAAAAGAGGTATCTCAGGAAAATATCTGGGGCCCCAGCTCTAACACTGGCTTTTTCCCCTCTAGGTGTCCAGATGGTTCCCATCAGTTGGTGTGAGATGCAGTGTCCTAAGACCCACACTAAAGAATTCCGGAAAGTGGCTAGAGTTCAGCCTGAATTTTTGCAGACCTAAGATGCTACATTTTACCCCATGGAGGGGGTAAGCTATTTCTAAGAGTATGTGATGAAAATAACTTCAAGATGCCATGGTCTTTATTCAGATACCTGGGGTCAGCCAGTGACCACCTCTAGAAAAATCTGCCAGTAATTTATATAGGTGGAACATTATTTTTGTGAACCTTTTAGTAAATTGGATTCTTGAGGATAAAGCTTCTCTTTGGGGGATATCAACAAACTGTAACTTTGGAGATAACCTGATAGGCCTTTTAAGTATATATTTTTTGCTGTGACAAAGAAAACATTTTTATTAAAAAAATTTTATGGTTTCTGTTGTGAAGGTATCTAAACAGGTGAAGGTATCTAAACAGTTTCAGTTATTAGATTAGGGGTTTGTTTGCCTCAGCACCCATTAACTGACGTGTCAACTGCTTGCTTGCTCTAGACAAAAGCCTGATTGTTGATCTCTTGTATTTTTTGTGTTGTTTTATATGCTTCTGCTTTCTAGGTGCCTAACACTGGGTCAAGCACTTTATACACCTCTCAGTTAGGTACATTATAGAATGTATGTAGTGATCAGGTAGCATGTGAGTGGTTTGGTAAACATACTTATACAGTGGGTATTCCAGAAAATGTTTGTTGCTTAAAAAGAAGGACAAAGCATTATCATGCAAGGTAGCCAGGGAAGGATTTGTGTGACATGAGATCAAAAGGAATTAAAGAGCTTGGTATATGAAGTTCTCTAGGCAGAGAGAAGCCCTAGCAAAGTGTAGAAGCAGAAATGATGGCATTAGTTTGAAGATGAGGGAGAGAGATAAGTTAAGCATGAAGAGGCTGCAGAGGACATTGGAAAGAAAGATGAACATGAGATGGTTCTTCTTGGAGATGTTGCTCAAAAGCCCATGACTCCAGTGTGTGCTGACAGTGATGGAGGGTGAGCTTTGGAGACAGCCCACCTAACTTTATGCCCTCTAGTTACTAATCTTCAACAGATTAGGGAGTTTTTTTGGTTTTATTGAAAATTTTGTTGGCGGGAGGCTGGGGTTGTGGCTCAGTGGAAGAGTGCTTGGCTAGCATGTTGGAGGCACTGGGTTCAATCATCAGCACATTAAAAAAAATAAATGAATAAAATATTGTGTTCACCTACAACTAAAAAAAATTAAAGAAAAATTTCTTGAGATAACTGTAGGTCCACATGCAGTTTTCTTGTTTGCTTGGCTGATTTTGTTATTTTGGGCAGTGGTGGGGATGGAGCCCAGGCTTTTGTGTATGCCAAGCACACACTCTACCACTGATCTACTTCCCTAGCATGTGCAAGGCCCTGGGTTCCAATTCTAGCACCAGAACAAAAATAAACATCAGCATATTGACATTGATATTAAGCAAGTTGTTTTTATCTGTTTTCTCATCTGAGTAGTAGTGTCTCATAGGATTACTGAGGAAGAAACACATAGAAGTGTTCAGTACCTGCTAATAGTATTATTATACATCATTTTTATTATACATATCCAATTGCCTTCTATCAAGTACTAAGTACCAGGCCTTATGTTAAAACACTTTGTAGATTGTTTGTTAATAAATACTTTAACTTCAGTGTATTACAGACAGTGCTACAAAGAAAACTTGTAGGAACTGGGGTTGTTGCTCAGTGGTAGTGCTTACCTGGCATGTATGAGGCTCTGGGTTCAATCCTCAGCACCACAAAAAAAAAATTTTCTTTTGTAAAAAAAATTCGTTGTCTACTATTAAAAAAAAAAAAGAAGAAAACTTGTGTAACATTTATACTTGTGCATGCCCATGCACTACTGATTCCTGGAAGTAGAATGCTGGGTCTAAGAATATGCACAAGCCAGGTGCAGTGGTGTGCACACCTGTGATTCCAGCAGCTCAGGAGGTTGAGGCAGGAGGATCATGAGTTCAGAGCCAGCCTCAGCAAAAAGCAAGGTGCTAAGCAACTCAGTGAGACCCCGTCTCTAAATAAAATACAAAAAAGGGCTTGGGATGTGGCTCAGTTGTTGAGTGCCCCCAAGTTCATCCCTGGCACCAAAAATATATATATATATACACACACATATATATGTACCATCTGTGCGTTTGTGTATGTATGTGTATGTGTGTATGTATACACACACACAAAGCTATTCAGGAGGCAGAGGTGGGAGGATCATAAATTTGAGCCTAGCCTGAGCAATACAATGAAATACAACCTTCCAACCAAAAAAAAAAAAACCACACAAAATAGGAGTGATTAGATGGCCTTGGGGGGGGGGGGCGCACTAGGGATTGAACCCAAGGTCTTATCCATTCAAGGTAAGCACTCCACCAACTAAGCTATAACCTCCCTAGATGGCCATTTTTCTTTACCCAAACAGTGTAGCCTAACCTGGGCTACCATCTAATGCTTTATTTAAAATCAGGATATATTTGTCTTTCCTGTCAGTACTAAAGATAACTGCAAATGAACAAAGTTTGTTTGCACTCTGAGTAAACTGTACCCCTCTATAATTATTTCCCACATCTCAATTTCTAGCTATAGTATATAGATTTCACAAGAGTAGCAAATATTTTCATGATATAATTTTGCAGGGTGTAGAAGTGGAGGCCAACTGGTGCCAATTTTTTTGTTTATGTGTCACTGTTTCCAAAGAGCATTTGGATCAACTAGTTAATAGAATTCCCTGATCTAATACAAAACAAGTTAATTTTCTCAGCTGTAAGCATATAATATTGTACAAAGCTATGTGCCTCATAGTAGATGAGCTCCTTTTAGGACACTATTCTTTTTTATCTGCATCCCCAGGACCTAGTACTTTACACATAACAAGTATTCAATAAAAATTTTGCAGGTATTCTCATAGTCAACTGAGCAGCTGTGCCCAATGTTAGGAAGGGACCATTGAGTGATAACAAGACCAGGTGTTTTTAAGTTCCACAAGGGATTCTTATGTGTTCAAAATGAGAAGCACTATCTTGTAGCTGGTAGAGGTGTTCCATTATTTTCTTGTCATAAGGCAGGTTTAGTCATGACTTATTAGTGTAGGGTCTGGAGACTTCTAGAAACTCAAATACTATTAGCATGTAATGATTGTTCTAAAACTCCTAATCATACAAAGCTTTGCTGGATGCTAAGATCCCTCAGAAAAGAGGTATAACATCACACAGGAAAATATTGCACATCACTCCTTTATTATACTGATCTGGAAAAAAGATTTTATTACAGTTATGCTAAATGAGTACTGGGCCTTTGTGGCAGGGCCAAGCAACTGGAATAAGACTCAGAAATCAGACACAGTAAAAGACACACTTGGACATGATCAAGAGGCATTTCACTGCCACAAAACAAGGCAGAGGAGAGATTCTCTAAGATACATAGCAAGATACACTCCTGCACCTTATAGGCCAAGGAGCTTATCCCATATTGGTGTGAGGAATGGCTTAGTTTCTGGTGACCACATGTGGGATTAACCACCACTAGAAAAAAACCAGAAGGTTTTTTTTTTTTTAGTATTTATTTATATATATACTTTTTCTTTAGTGAAAGTAAATGTAACAAAAGTTAGGGTTGATCCCAACATTCTGGAGCCAGCTCCTCTGGGGTCAGGGAGTTGTCTTTCTTAATTCACCATGCAGGTTACTTTTGTATTCCACTGGAATGACTAGAGCCCCCTGCTACCCATCTTCCCAGTGACCTGAATACAGAAGAGTACAGAACTGGCTCTTAGAAACACAAACAGGCTCTCTGGCTTCTTCTCATTGGTCATGCCTTGGCACAATTCCTCCCTACCCTTCTCAAGAAAAAAACCAACAACTACAACCTCAACTCTTCTGGATATGAGGAGCCTTCCCTGGGCTTAGATTGAGAACCTGTGCCCCAGAGTTTCTATTCTGATTACAATCTACAAAGGGAGTGGGTGCAGGAGACAAAATGCTAAAATTAAAGTGGGAGCTACTGGTCCCCATCTGCAGCTACAACTTAAGATGCCCACAGATGTGGTCAGTATGGTGATGCAGGAGAGAGGTGCAAAGGAATGGATGGGCAGGGTCTTCCTTGGTACAGTGGTCTGCGATCTTGCCTTTATTTCTTTGCCTTGCCCTGTGCAGCCACGGCTTCCATTGCTTTACGAACGGTCTCTTCATCCCCCAGGAACTGCATGGGCTTGATGGGCTTCAAGTTCTTGTCCAATTCGTAGACAATGGGAATACCAGTTGGCAGATTCAGCTCCATGATGGCCTCTTCAGAGAGACCTGAAAAGAGCCATCCTGATCAGCCACACAAGGTGTGAATCCACATCACCCCTCTAGGTTTACTCTTCATCCCCCAGGTGAGAAAAGACTTTGGTAGGAATTAATGATTAATTGATTAATCTGATCTTTGTAATAGTAATTAGATATTTATAATAGTAGATTGACTCCATAAGGAGTGGCCTCTAGGACTAATTTCTCAAGCCACTAAACTGAAAAGCAAGGAAAAGGAAAAAAGTGTGAGAATGTACACAAGATTCTGGGGTGGGCTACCAACAAACTACAGAAAGGTGCATACTGCAGATATATCCCTACCTAGTAAGATCTAAACCTACAGTGAAGCATGACTATCCACATCCCAAACATCCTATATAGTCCATCCTTCTGTGAAAATTTGGCACTCTGGGCTTCTAGATCCTCAGAAGCTAAACAATGTAAGATGGAGATTTATATGTGAAATTGAGCCAGGCTGAAACTAAAGAACATTTTATCAATAGTTTACATCCTCGTCTAGAGATGGGCATCTCAAACTATCATAAATATTTTTCTGAACCAGGTCTAGAATAGGACCTGAGGTTCTGCATGTATAACAAGTTGTCAGGAGTTCAGCTGCTACTGCTCTGCAAACAAATTTTGAGAAACGGGTGTCTTATACTAACTTATACCACTATAAGTCAACGTAAATTGTCTAAGACTATCAGTATGTTGGCCCTTTCCCAAGGGTCTCCTTTATACTAAATTATGTCCCTAATTCGGGAAGTTCTGCTTTATCCATCCCTGAGGGCCCATCTAAAAAATGCACATACCCTCCAGATGCTTGACAATGCCCCTAAGGCTGTTGCCATGGGCAGCAATCAGAACCCGTTTCCCCTCCTTTATCTGGGGGACTATTTCTTCATTCCAGAAGGGCAGAGCTCTGGCAATGGTGTCCTTCAGACTCTCACAGGAAGGCAGCTGATCTTCAGTAAGGTCTGCATACCTACGATCCTATACAACAACAAAACTTGTTTACCAATTATTACCAGTAGCATTCAATAAATGGCTTTCGGAATGTATAATAATTCTGCCATTCCTCATCTCCTAAGGA